CATGATGTCATATTCATATTAATTTCAATCTAATGGCCTCAAAATTCTTGAAGCTATGAATTCAAAATATTATACCATAGTCTCAAACATTTCCAACATGGGCTGTTGTAATGATACTTGCAGTAACTACAAATATAGATATAATATATACAATATACAATATATACAATAATAGATACTCCAAATTAATTTATTGAGAAATAAGTAATAATATTTAGAAAAATGAATAAGATGTGATTAAAAAAAAAGTAAGTAGTGTGTAGAAATCGTTGGAACTTAGAAATATTATAACTCACAATAAGTGTAGAGGCACTATTTTCTCTATGGAATAAAACAAACTTGGAAATTTTGGTGTGACACGATAGTCTATTCATTGCCTCCTATTCTCTAACACTTGGAAAATCATAATGTAAAAGTACAAAAATTGGATTTATTTTCAATTTCTAGAGGGAGAGCAGTGTTTCTGCACATGAATTGAACACTCAAAACAGCTTCCCATATTATATCAACAGAATTTCATGAAATATAATGCAGTAAGTTAAAACCTTACAAAAGTACAATTCCAATTATTTACAGATTTTGTTTTTCTGCAGGTTGACTATGAGTTGATAGTATGGCATAAGTCCCAAGAATATCATGCACTGTTAGGAGTTGATATAATAATAGCATTTGAAACAGAGTTATGTTCCCCGTAAGTCCTATTGAACCATCTCAAGATTATGTTTTTAATTTCAGAATGTAAGAACTTAAGAGTGTCTCAACCCGCGTAAGTCCACAGAGATCCTAGAGGGGGAGTGGGGATTGGAAGAGACAAGAGACATGAAGAATGGAGACAAGACAGTGCTCTGATCAAGTCTCATTTATTCAAAGAAAGTGATGAATACATAGTGTATTGGGGAAGGGACTGGGTTCTGACATATCAGCAGGTAACTTAGCAACAGTGGCAAGACCGAGGGTTATAGGGTATTCAAATCTCCCGTGCATGGGCTCATAAGGTGGACTGATTAGCAAAATCCCTGAATGGGCCAAACCACAGGGACTTGTGACCTAAGGAGAAACAGGCCAGGTGAAGAGAGATAGAAACTTAACTATCAAATGGAAACTTAACTCCTAGAGGACGTGAAGGTGGCTGTTGCCTGTTGATATAAGGTAGCAGCCAATTTACAGGGCTTCCCACAAAGAGAAAGTTAATTTTCATGATATGCAATGCCTAAAAGACAATTTCCAAAAATGATGTGACAATCAGATGATTTTCTAAAGAAATCAAGGTGGATTTTGTCTTCCACCCTAGACTGTTTCCAGATTTTTAAATAACTAAATAATATTGCACATTAAAAAATGATAGTATCAGTTTTATTTCAAAGAGAGCCAATAAAATAAAGAAAATTATATGTTTCTTCAAGGCTGAGATACTTGGCTAAATCTCTCTTCACTTCATCCTCAACCATTTATTTTGCAAAATGTATTTTACCTTTTCATGTCTTATTTTATCCAGTATCATTTTGGGATAAATGACTTCAAAGATTTTACATTGTAAAGGTTATGTTTGATTGTGGATCCATTACTCTTATTCTACAAGAGTAGCAGCTTTCAATTTTATTTTTGATAATTGTTTTTGCAGATCTTAGTTCAGATATTCATCCTTTGAAGCTCTGTATTAAGCTATCATTATATCATCCCACTTGATTGCTTCAGTCATCTAGTGTTGCTTCTCAGGCCAGTTATCAGATAATTCTTCTTATATTAATTGATTAAATCCAAGACATTTTTTCTTGTGTTACAGTCATTAAGGTTTTCTGGATTTTTACTGTGAAGGTTTTATCTATTCTATTGCAAAAGGAGAAATAAATAAATGGAACAATGGAATAGCCACATTTCAATTTCACCAACCAAAAGACAGACACTAGTGTGGTAACTTGATTAATTACACCAAAGTACACTTGATAAAACATTATTTTCAAAGAAATTGTTCAAGGTTAATCTAATACCACATATAAAAATACATTTGATACTTCTTTCATAATATAAGAAAATTTAAAGTTGAAAAAGATTTCAAATATATTTTAAAATATTTAGTATTTTAGAAGATAGTTATAGGATATTTTTGTGCCTTAATAGTTGAAGGTTTCTAAAATGTGATGTAATAGGACAGAGGACACAGATCATGACCTATACAACACTTCTCCACTCAGTAATAAAAGAATATTTAACATATATATATATATATATATATATATATATATATATATATATCCCCAAAGAGCATGGTCAATTTAAAAACAAAGCAAAGAAAAATTGTTTGATTCAGCATAGCAGAACTATGTCATTAAAGATGCACAAACGAGAGATTCTAGGTGTCTTGGCCTCCACTGCTTTGAGATTGCTTATGGATTCAACTGGATAGCCCTGAGTCACTACTAAAGAAGAAAATAAAGAAAACCCACACATACTTCTACTGCAGCCTTTTCCATCACATTTCAAGGCAACAGTGAGAGGAAATTCTACTAACAGAAATTTGTTTTCTAGAAAAGGAATTTCAATAAGTACAGTCTACATCACTTCATTGATAGCGGACAGAATTTTGCTCCATGTCAGAGACCTGGAAACAAAATAATTAGAAAGTTAGTGATGAGGAGCTATATTTGTATCGCACATAAATGCTCATTAAAGATCAAACAGCCCATGTTTTATCCTAAAGGTAAAGTAAATTTGTGACATGCAATTGCTCATAAACATGTCTTGATTTTCTTTTTACAGTGCATCTCATCGCAGATTGTCAAATGTCCAAATTTTAATGATTTCCATAGAGTGCGAAAGAAAACATCAAAAACAGTTTGCAGTGCTTGGCTTAATCTGTATCTATTTGTTAATGTGAATAAGTGAAGTCGCATGCTTAATAATGCATAAAATTTGTTGCCTTACCACTGAATAAATGACAAATGAATGTGTTGCTGGTGATGCAAATTGTTTGGGATGTGTGGTATTAAATATTTTTTTCACCAGACATGATATATGGATCATGTATCTATATTTATATCATCTATATTTATAACTATATGTATATCATGTGTATCATCTATATGTGTTAATATATGTATATCTTATCAATTTCATCTACTACCAATCTGTATCTTTACCTATTATCATATATAGAAGTTAAAATATATGCTATCATATATTGAAAGATCTAAGATATATATATATATATATATATATATATATATATATATATATATATCATGAACACTTCCATTTGGAAACAACTTGGTTCCTAAACAGAAATGTGTCACAATATTTTGATTTTGTTTACAAAATCTTCTTCAAGTGACAAATACAATCATGGTAGTCTTCCCCACACAGACACAAACATGGCCATGTTTTCCAAAATCACAGAACAATTTAAGTTCGTGAGCCACACATTATATTTATTACTAGCTCAATACTAGTGCCTCTGTGCTTCTTCAGGAGGACAGCACATTGTAAGTACAGAGATGAGAGCTCAAGGGAATTAGGACACTAGAATTTGTAACAACACAGGAGGTGCTTTGGAAATGTGCATGAGGATTGCTTGGAGTTTTTTGGAGGAGTATCAAACCGATTGATATTGTAACACATCATAAGGCTGTGTTATATTATTCCCAGATATGGAGCTATTGCTTAGAGAGATTGGTAAAACACTGAGTTGCAGACTGCTTACACCAAATCACTTCTATCATGAAAGGTTCAGTACCTTTGTAGGTCAAAGCACATCTCACTGGAGAAGGTCCACAGTTCACACACTGTTTTTCCTTTTCTGATCACAAGGCCTTTGTAGAAGAAAAAAGTTATACATGTAAAGACTGAATTATTCACTCTCATGCTTGTATCTAAAGGAAAAAAACTCTATTGTTGAAAATAAATTCTCAGGGGCGGAGCTAAGATGGCAGATAGATAACAACCAGCTACAATGGCTCCATGAGATAGTCAACTCAGAACTCAACATAATACAACTTGAGGAGCCTTGAACATAGGGAGAGGAATTCTCTCATTTCAAGAAGAAAATAAGGTGAGAAAAATGAATCAAACATACACTCCTGGCTGTCTGCACCACTGTGCAGACCTGAGCGCCTACGGGCTGCCAGTGAGACAGGCCATCCCCATACCACTGCCTCTAGCAGTGGCCTCCAACTCTGTGGCCAGGGGCCCACCAGAGGATGGGGGAGTGAAATGACTCAGCGCCCACTGGGTGCCCCCAACCCCAGCACCACCGCCACCTCCTTGAATCTGGGCTGCATCAAGGAGGACAGGAGGAAGAGCATGGGTTGTGGGCTTGGGACCGCATTGCTGGGATGCATTGCCACCTTCACACTCACCACTCACGCGAGGACCTGAGCCCACAGCACTGGTGCTGAGCAGGCCCCTGCCACCGGAGCGCCCCCAAGTTCCCCGGGTGGGTGTGTCTTTGCCGCTGGCAGGCCAACCAGGCCTGTGTTACCGGAGCCCTGCAGAGCCACTGCCAAGAACAGAGCCCAGAGAAGCTGCTTCTGAAAACACCTCTTCAGACAATAATCAAAAGTACAGAACCAGAAATTTCCGGTTTCTGGCCATGATAGACCAGCGTCGAGGAATTGGGCCTGCCTGCTTGCACTGTGAATTCTGGGCTGGGCGGCCTTGGGTGAGTGTCCCCACACCATCCCAAGATATCTCAAGTAACAGCAATTTGGGGAGGGCAGCAAAACCCCAGTCAGTATATTTTGGACCCTAAGCAATATGGAGAGGGCCACAGATCCTGCAGACACACCTGTCTGAAAGAAACCAGAAACATGATAATCAATAGAAATTTTAGAAAAACCTCCAGCAGATGACCCTGGAAAAATAAGCCCAGGAGAGATAAACACAGAAGAGAAACAGTGCAATAATCATGCAATATTAGATACAGCTTCAGCTGACATAAAGAAATACCTTCATGACCTCATAAAAGAATTTAAAACTGTACTTCTGATGCAAGTGAAGCAAGATATAAGACTATACTTTCAGGGATCATTTCTATAGTATGTTACTAGAGAAGCTTCTCTGACTGTAGAGAGCACCAGAAACCACCACGAGGAGGAGGCGTAGTGTTCCTTCCAGAGCATTAAGCAGGCTCTCGTCGCTGCTTGAGTGTAGCTGCCACTTACCATTGATGATCGTTCTGGCTAACTCCTTGGAGATAGCAAGAGGGGAGGGACACAGTTTGAGTGGTTTCTGTTTCAACTGAGGTTATAAGAAGAGAGGCAAACAGTCTTTCCTCAAGGGCTACCTGGCTTTTTGTTGTTGTACGTCTGTGTTGTCACTGTGGGGCACTATGGGGTGGCAGCCTTTTCTTTTAGCTACAGGGAAGTCCACTACCAGCTCCCTAGGTTTCTCTTAAACTTACCAGCACCTTGCCCTGGATTTTAATCTCTCAGAGTGCTTGGGGAGTGCTTTTTGGAACTTACACCCTGTTTTATACCAACCTCACTGATTATATTCTGGCCGATAGTATACATGGGATAATTCCAGCTTCCTGTTCATTTACTTCAGCGTGTTCTATCTGCCAATAGGCTCTATTTTGGAGAATGTTCTGTGCAGCTGAGAAGAATGTGTATTCTGGTACTGTGGGGTGGAACACTATGTAGATATCTAAGTTTGATTTAGTTCTAGTATTAAAAATAAAAAGACTAATTAAAGAAATGATAAGCCCCTCCCAAGAGAACACAGGTGGAAGAACTGAGGAACTCAGAAAAGACAGAGAAACCTTTCATGAAGTATATAAGCAAAATCTAGAATACATGAAACAGATCGAAAGAGATTACCAGGGAACTAAAAACCCCATTGAAAGCTGGCAAAATGCCTTTACAGAAGCTAAAGTTAGCCTTTTGAAACTTGAAGAGAGATTTATGGCGTGTGATCACAAAAGAAAAGATCTCTTAAAAATAACAAGAAACCAGGAAGAAACAATACAAAACTAGAAGATAACAAGAGGGTTTATAACTTAAGAATGAAAAATGTGAGCAAAGAAGCAAGAATAACTACAAATGAACTACAAAGAATATTCACAGATATAATTAAGGAAAACTTCCCAAGCATAGGAAAATAAAATGATATCCAGATAAAAGAGGCATACAGAACTCTAGCCATCTACAACCAAAACAGATCTACATCCAGACATATAATAATCAAGATTCCAGAATTCTATCCCAAGAACAGAATATTAAAAGTAGCCAGAGAAAAGAGGCAGATTACCTACAACAGAAAAATTATCAAAATAACAACAGATTTATCAACACAAACTCTCAAACTGAGAAGAGCCTGGGGGAAGTCATCCAAGCCCTGAAAGAAAATAACCTCTAACCTAGACTGATGTACCCAGAAAACTCTCTCTCAAAATTAATGGAGAAATAAGATACTTTCAAAACAAAGAGGAACTCTGGGAGTTCATGGCCACCAATGCAACTCTACAAAAAATACGGAAGGACATTTGAGTGAGAGACAGGAAAAAAATACCAGGATTCCAGAAACAGTGACAAAGAGGCCTCAGTGAACTGGGCAGACAGTGGAAAGAAGGAGTAAAGTGAACAAATAATGACAAAATAAAATAGCAGAAATGAGGCAAAGATGGCAAGCTATAATCTTTAATATAGATAGCCCTGAAACACTAACAAAAAAAGAAACACACAGGCAGAGTAGATTAGGAGGCAGGGTCCATTGAGATGCTCTGAGTAGGAGATACACTCAACCTGAAAGAGGGTTAATAAACTGAGATTCAAAGATGAGAAAACAATGCTATATGTGACACGAAACCAGAGAGAAACAGGGACAACTCATCCAGCAGTCACAGATAGACTGGAAAGCTATGACACTTTTGGGCAGTGTAGAACTACACAGCTAGAAGGAAGGACAAACTTGTGACTTTAGTAAGTAAAGGAGTACAGCTCAAGATCAAGTTCAGGGGTAAAAAGGTTTAGCAACACTCAGATAGATAACAGGTTGGTCCCCTAATCTGAAAACTAAAAGAGCTAGTGGGACACAAAATATACAACGCACCCTGAGAAAGGGAAAAGGGAGGAACTGTCTAAAAAATGAAGGCAGAGGACATTGCTAATAGTGTATCAGAATTTAAAAGTCATAGTAGTCTTATTGCTCAGTTTAGTTTGATTATATTTTGTTCTAGTCTGTCTACCCATTTTAGAATTGAGGGCACAAACAGCTAACCCAAAAGTAGCAAGTTAAACCATGGTAACTATCATTAATTTCCGATTAACTTCAACTGAAACTCTATTTTACTTACATTGTCTTACTATGACTGATCTTATTTGAAGCTGGTTCATTAGACCACTGTTTAGCCTTGACTCATTTCATTCAAATATGGTATCCTTGATAGTACTGAGTCTGAAAGTGGAGACAACTACTCTGAAGATGACAAGATGTAAAAGATATCCATTCTGGTTTTGATTATTAACTGATTTCAAGTCCTACAATATCTTCAAAGTTGTGTTTTTAATAAAATAGTTCTGTAATTTTATGTTCAATTATATTATGCCTGATGATGTGGACAATTCTATTGAAAATAAGAGAAAATATAGTAACTTTGTGGTGTGTAGATCACCTAATATTGTGGTTCTGTATGTCTTTTTCATTTCATGTTTTTCTGGAAATTGATTTTGTTGTCTTGTTTTGGTCTGTTTTTCCCTATAATACAAAAAGGATAGATACATATTTAGAGAGTCACACATGGGAAGAATTTCTAAACTATTTACGGGAAGAGATTATATAATACAGGATGTAATAATGAACAGATGCTCTGAAGAAGAAGAGACACTAAAAAACCCAGCGCTTATTCTGTAGCATTAGGATATGAAATCTAGAAATACTATCATTCACTGTTCAGAGTGATATTAGTCTAGTCTCTTATGTTCATTTTCAGCATACGTAATGATTAAGACAGCTACTACGAAGAGACTGAGAAACATTAGGGTAGACATTATAGATTTCCCCAAAATTAGATCTTAAATATCTAAAAAGCCTTCATCATTCTGTAATGATCTGATTAGTTCCATAATGTCCAGTATATATTCAATGTGTAAAGATGGGGACATCTATTTGGAAGAAAACTAGAGACAGAAGATAGCGAAGATCTCCAGTGGACTTGCTTTAAAATCTATGTTTCTTTGAATTGTTTCCATATAAACTGTTTTGTTCTGTTTTGCTATGTTTAATCTTACCCTCCTTAAGATAAAAAACAAGTATGTAAGACTTGTAACCTTATTACTAAGTTCTGGTTGGATCGTTGAGTAGAACTGTTTGCAGTGTCATTACCTGACTATTACTTTGTATGCTTTAACTTTGTAACTCGAGCAACTATTTCTAGGATGATGGTATGTAACTTATCAACTGGTGATTTCTTACTGTTTATTTTTGTGAAATTCTGTATTGTTTCTACCCTTTTTATCTTTTTCCTTTAAATAAAAAAAACTATGAAAATAAATTCTAGAAGAATGATCAGTCTTTTTCAATTTGCAGGTTTTACCATGTTGCTGGTCTATATTGATTAGTTCATTTTCTCCAAAGAAACAAAATACATACAATAGATAGATAGATGATAGGTAGGAATGTAGGTAGATAGATATATTGATAGATACATAGTTATATCAATACTTTTACTGACCACCTCAGAATAACATTGAGACAAGTAGCTCAAAAATCCTAAGTCATGTTCAAAATGACATGAAATTCATCAACACATGCTACAGTGTATGACCTGACATAATTGTGGGGTGGTATTTGGAGTATACAATGTTGTCACCAGGAGAATGACAACAACTTCCTGATGTCTGGTAATACCTTATAGGTGGAGATTGTTTAATAAATGCCAGGTAGAAGAAATCCCTTTTCTCTCTTTACCACCACAATTAGCCTACACTTCAAGCAAAGCAAACATTTGACAAGCAGACCTTTCCTTTGAGTTTGTACTTCACTACTTTGGACTATTTCACCCATTAAATCATGAAACTGATTATTAGAACTGGGCTCATTGATTCTTTTTTCTTTTGTATGATAGTTATAAGGAAAAGCATATAGTGGACAAAATAAATCCTTTTGGGCACTGCTTAAAACATCAGGCTAAATAAAATAGAATTATTGCATAACCAGAATCACTGAACACAGGAATGGCTACCAGTAATCCAAATGTTTGAGAAAGTTTACCTTTAATTTATGCCGGGGGCAAAGACTACCAAAGTGCTTTCTGAACAAAACGGGAATATTAAAAGGGTAATAAGAAGAAAGCTACATATATTACTCACAAAAGATTAATTTTGCAAATTTAATTTGAGAGATTAAAAATAATTTGAGATTTATGTGTATGTTTTCATTATATTTGCTTATATGCACCTTCGGTAATTTTTTATTATTATGAAATATTCCTTGTTAATAATATGCTAAGAGTTATTAGCTTCTAACTACTTGAAGGAATCGCTTGAACATATAGAAATCTCACAACTGTGAAAGTCTTTATTGCTGATCCGAAGATTGTTCTGCTCTTATCAGTTTAATCTACTCAATGTGTTGCAGAAACAAATAGCTTATATCTTTCACTTTAAGCTACTGGAATGTGGAAACATAATTCATACATCATTTTTTCAAAAAAAAAATACATCTTGAGAAAAGGTGTTTTGGTGAAAATAGGATGAATTTATTATAAAACATATAAATTTAATAGATTGTTAATATGTATTAGATTAGAAAATAACTTCTTTACACATTTAGATCAAAGTCAATTCAAGAAGACCAAAGCATTTCACTTGGAGCCAGGACTACAAATAATAGACTGTTCCTGGGATTGAGCCAGGTTATGGTTAGCTGATGTGACATCGTGGTTTTAGAGGAAGCCTAGGTAGGTATCTTTAGACTAAGACTAAACTAAATGGCAGGGAGGGATCCATAGGAAGACAATATATAGTATAACTAGAGTATTTTTAAGTCTGCCATTTTATACCACTGAAACTGTTTCCTAGAATTGTCACTGGCTTACATGACTGTTTCATTGCTTTGCTAAGAAGTTGGAAATCAAAGTCAAATCAAGAGCTGTCTCTATACACATTCACACACACACACACACTCACACACACATACACACACACAAGAAAAACAATAATTTAGGTCATTTATGATGTTTTGTGGGAATTCAATTTATGTATACTTCCTAATATGTTTGCTACATAC